ATTGTATATTTAGAAAACCCCTCATCTCAACCCAAAATCTCCTTAAGCTGATAAGCAACTTCAGCAAAGTCTCAGGATACAAAATCCACGTGCAAAAATCACAAGCATTCCTATACACCAATAATAGACAAACAGAGGCCAAATCATGAGTGAACTTCCATTCACAATTGCTACATAGAGAATTAAATACCTAGGAATACAACTTAAAAGAAATGTGAAGGATCTCTTCATGGAGAACCACAAACCAGTGATCAAGGAAATAAGAGGACACAAACAAATGGCAAAACATTCCATGCGCCTAGATAGGAAGAATCAATATTGTGAAAATGGCCATACTGCTTGAAGTAATTTATAGATTCAGTGCTATCCCTATCAAGCTAGTGTTGACTTTCTTCACAGAATCAGAAACAAACTACTTTAAATTTTATTGGAACCAAAAAAGAACCTGCATAACCAAAACAATCCTAAACAGAAAGAACAAAGCTAGAGCACAACCAAAACAGCATGGTACTGGCACCAAAACAGATATATAGAGCAATGGAACAGAACAGAGGCCTCAGAAATAACATCAACACATCTACAACCATCTCATCTTTGACAAACCTGACAAAAACAAGCAATGGGGAAAGGATTCCCTATTTAATAAATGGTGTTGGGAAAACTGGGTAGCCATGTGCAAAAAGCAGAAACTGGACCACTTCCTTACATCTCATACAAAAATTAACTCAAGATGGATTAAAGACTTAAATGTAAGGCCTAAAACTATAAAAACCCTATAAGAAAACTTAGGCAATACCATTCAGGACATAGGCATGGGCAAAGACTTCATGACTAAAACACCAAAGCAGTGGCAACAAAAGCCAAAATAGACAAATGGGATCTAATTAAACTAAGGAGATTCTGCACAGCAAAAGAAACTATCATCAGAGTGAACAGACAACCTACAGAATGAAAAAAATTTTACAATCTATCCATCTAACAAAGGGCTAATATCCAGAATCTACAAAGAACTTAAACTTGTTTACAAGAAAAAAACAAATAGCCCCATCAAAAAGTGGGTGAAGGATATGAACAGACACTTCTCAAAAGAAGACACTTATTCAGCCAACAAGCTTATGAAAAAAATCTCATCATCACTGGTCATTAGAGAAATGCAAATGAAAACCACAATAAGATATCATCTCACACCAGTTAGAATGGCAATCATTAAAAAGTCAGGAAACAACAGATGCTGGAGAGGATGTGGAGAAATAGGAATGCTTTTACACTGTTGGTGGGAGTGTAAATTAGTTCAACCATTGTGGAAGACAGTGCGGTGATTCCTCAAGGATCTAGAATCAGAAATACCATTTGACCCAGCAATCCCATTACTGAGTATATACCCAAAGGATTATAAATCATTCTACTATAAAGACACACGCACATTTATGTTTACTGCAGCACTGTTCATAATAGCAAATACTTGAAACCAACCCAATGCCCATCAATCATAGACTGGAGAAAAAAAATGTGGCATATATGCACCATGGAATACTAGTCAGCCATAAAAAATATGAGCTCATGTCTTTGAAGGGACATAGATGAAGCTGGAAATTATCATTCTCAGCAAACTAACATAAGAACAGAAAACCAAACACCACACATTCTCACTCATAAGTGGGAGTTGAAAAATGAGAACACATGGATACAGGGAGGGAAACATCACACACCAGGGCCTGTTGGGGGGTGGGGGGCTAGGGGAGGAATAGCATTAGGAGAAATACCTAATGTAGGTGACAGGTTCATGGATGCAGCAAACCACCCTGGCTTGTGTATACCTATGTAACAAACCTGCATGTTCTGAACATGTACCCCAGAATTTAAAGTATAATAATAAAAAAAAGAAAAAAAAATTAGGCCATAAAATTAAAACAAGGGACAAAGGACAACTCATGGACACACAGGCTTTGTCTGTGGACTTGTATGAGTGTTTGACTACCTTCAGTTTTGAAAAATGAGGAACACTTTGGGAACACTAACAAAGCTTGAAAAGGGAAGAATTGATACATGTGAGAATTTCCAAATGAGAGTCCTTCTGTCTGGAACATTGTACTTTCTCTTCTCCTGAATGATGTATTCATCCCCTGGACTCCTTTCAGAAAACAATCCATTAGGAAGCATCCCTGACCCCCACTCTCATGCCTCCCTGCTCTTATCTGAGTGAGGAGATTTTTCTGAGTTCTTCTTGGCATGCAGCACTGGTCACTATCATGGTCCTTATCATGCTATATTGTGATTGTTTACTTGTCTCAACTCCTTATTCTCAATAGACTGAAGAAATTTTTGATTTACTTCTCTTTGTAGACCCTATATTTACACACTCAAAAAAAAGTTTACTAAATAAGCAAGTAGGATTGTCTGAGGACATGTTTTATACTGTATAAGTGTCCCACTTTTAAAAAATTTATTTGTTTTTTTCCTGCAAAGTAAATTCTGAAGGCAAATCACAAATGCCTTTCAAAGTAAGAATAATGAGTTTATAAGAAAAAATATGTGGTTGCATATATTTTCCTTTTTCCCAAAGGAAAGCTAGTTGGCATAGCAAAAGATAAGGTAGATTAGAAATGTTGTGCTTAACACTACTTCTTACAAGTTAATAGATCTGTGTGAGTTTACTTCTTCAGCTGAGAATTGGAGATAACACTATCTATACTTTCTATCTTACGAGGTTGTTGCAATAGTCAAACAAGTTAATGGGAATAAAAGCATTTCAAAAACTCTGAATTGGTATATGAAGCATGTTAAGATGACTTTTTAAAAAAAGTGTAAGTTGGCTTTTCTTACATAATTGTTTATCTTACGTAAAATGAAGGTTGAGAAATACATTTTGGTGAGAAGTTTGAGTTTCACATTGTCACTTCCAGTCATTAAATGTGGATAGCATTGCTTTGGCCTATAACCTTGATCTAGTTTAGCTGTCATTGTCACTGTCACAACTCCACCATCATCAGCCAACCTGGAATGTTAATGGGCTGTTAGGCTCAAGTCCTTTTTGTGTTTCCTGATAGGGGAGTCAGAATTCAGTCTGAAGGAAGATACTTGTACATGTCTATTTCTAGTACTTTTAACATTGGCTATGGTATACTGATTTAGAAAAGTTCCTTGGTGGACCAGAAGCATAATGTAAAACCAGCTGCCAGGTTTATGGTTGCACTCCTGCATGTGGTAGAATAAGATAGAAAGTAATTGGTATTAACTGGTTTCCATTATGATGTGAGAATAGAGTTGGCAGAAAAATTTATAATTAGCTCTGACATTATTGACAAAGCTACAGTATAATGCAGTAATAGTGAGACATTAGTTTATTGCTCTGGCAAGCAGATAATTTAATAGCATCTTAGCTCACAGAATTTAGTGTTATAAAGACTTAATGTGTTTTTAATCCAATGAATAAATAAATATATCAATTTTTAAAATACTTGATTGATATTTATAGCAATGAGGAGGTAGCCTAAAGTATCTTCCCCTTCACCCATGGTCCAGAAATGAACAGATATTTGCAGAAGTTCAATGTTGTCTGAGAACCTTTCCAGTGTCATTGCAAAGATCTTGCTGCACAGAATTTCAAGATGGCACAACAGTAGTCCCATCGACTTTCTAACCCAGCCACTTGAGGTGTGATAATTCATTAAATGAAGAAATACTTTCTCAAGAGTCTACAAGCCAGAGTAGTAACATGGCAGTTATAGATTGCTTCCTGTCCATCACAGAATATAGAAATTTCACACTACCCTTCACACTAATCACAATTCTTCACTCGAAAACATGTTATTTGAACAATTCCATTACTGAAACTCTGATAACCTTTTCTTCTTTGGAGACATGCACAGAAAGAGTTTGAAATCATTGTATCACCCTGCTACACTCCATGATATGGGTTTTGTGACTACAATTTAACAACTCCATACTGGCACGAGAGAAAGAGAGGTTGGCATTAATGGTTTATTTATTGAGCTCTAAATTCCTTCGTTTCCTTCAAAAGAATACTTGTCCTCTAAGAAATATTTTCTAAATTCCTATCATAATATTATAAAATATCCTTTAAAAGCATTGTTCAAAGTATAACAAATCAAAATGATAGAACAATCTGGTACTAGTTGGCACAATTATTGTGTCAACATATAATTCCTTACCTTTATGTCTGGGGATCTCTGCAGTAAAATCATGAATAGAGCTCTAAAATCCTTTACTTCTACAATATGTCATGCAAGACTTACTTCTAAATAAGTCAATATCATGCATCTATATAACTTCCATTCTTGTTGACCGGACATCATATGGCTTTGTAACCTCACTCTCACCACTCTGAAGATAATTTCTCTCACCCTTCTCTCCTCTCTCTCTCTCTCTCTCTCTCTCTCTGTCTCTCTCTCTCTCTCTCTCTCTCTCTCTCCCTCTCCCACACACACACACACACACACACACACACACACACATTTTTTAATATACATATATTATCTAAATCAGCCAGTCCCTAGGCCTTTGAATGTGGTCTACATATTCTCTTTTTCCCTTAGTGGTATTTCCCTCAGCTAGAATGCTGTTTCTCCTCTTTTTTTTTTTCTTTTTCCTTTTTTCTTTTTTCTTTTTTGCCAATTTGAATCCTTTCATTTCAAAGTTCACTGCTTCCAAGAATCATGGGATTCTTGACTAACTGAATCTGTCACCCACCTTAACCTTACTTTGAATATCCTCATTAGTTATGTGTACACAGTATGTGCCACATCAGTATGGCTTTCTTTCTAAGTTGCCTCAGAAAGATTCTGAGTGTCGTAGGTGGACGTGTAACACTTTCCAACGTTAAGCTCCTCAAGACCAGAAGGTATCTACTTCACTTCCTCTGATTCCAAATTCCATCTGGGACATGCTACACTCAGCTGATTATCAAAGATGCCTGAGATATTAATTTTTACCAATCCAGTCTTGCTTTAATCTGCCATAGTGTGTGGTTTTATACTTACTGGAACAGAAACTTGAGGATTATCTGCAAGTTTACCCAGCACAGCAGAGCCGTCAATGTCAATCGGGCCTCTTGGCTTTATAGGTAAAGATTCAATCCTGTTGCAGTCAACAAAAAGAGTAGCACTACTCCTCTCCACGCCAATCATGATCTTATGCCACTGGGAATCAAACAAGGAGGGCAAATTCGAAAAGGCTGCTGTTTGGAGACTTCCATCCAGTCCCTTGTATGAAAATGCAACAGATTGTGTCTGGCCATTAATCTTTATGCCAACTTGCTCCTTCCCAGAGGAATCCTGAATCTGCCAAATGCTCCAGTTCTTTCTGAGTGTGCTTCCAGTCATCCGAAATGTCGTCAAGAAGGAATATTCTTCAGGCAGTCCACTGGGATATAAATTCCTGAGTAAAATTTTTAAATAGGAAATATGAATCTTGTTTCCTGTGCCCAGCATATTTACAGCCTTCCCTTTTGAGGCCATTTCTAGATGCCAGACCTACAGAAAGGTTACAGTGTAAAAAACTATGTAACTTTTGTTATTTCATGGCTGCTCATAAAGACCTTCACAGTAGTTCAATCATTCATGTACATTCATGGTCCATCTTAAAATACGCATTTTAAAAATACCCTCCCTCATTGCTAAGAAAGATTCCCAATGCCACATAATCCCAACAAAATTACTATTTATACTATCCAAAGAGCTACTGTTCAGCAATTTCATCTCAGCCAAAAAATACATTCTTGCAAAGTTCTTGGCAACATTTCATTCACAAGTGAGAGAGGAGATCATTAGGAATGTAAATCAGCTGTACTAGCTTGTGAAATGATTTAATTAAAGCAGCTAGCAGCTTCTACTTTTTTGTTTTAATGTAACATGTTAAGATTATTTGTTATCTCCATAATTGCTTGGGTATTCCACTCCACAATTATATCCTTGACCCATGTAAGTATTTTGAGAATCAATAACTGTGGGGACTTCAGAAGTTTCTTCACTTCTGAAGGCTGTTTATCTTTTTTTAGGGAATTCAAATTACAATGTTAAAGTAGCAGCTTAACACTGGATGGGTGATAAGTGAAAGTGACCAATTCTTACTTCTCTACTGAAACTCAATTGTTTCTTAAGCTGCCAACTAAGTCTGTATCATTGCTAACTCCTTTACTGCTTTAAATGGCAGAATAAAACCAGCAGTGTCCCTGAGGCATCTCTACCCTCTATAGAGACTGTGGTCTGGAGCTGCACCAGCTACCTGGATACGCTTCTGTTGAAGCCAAGCTGCAAAAAGCTGAAGACCGAACTTTAAAACTTAGCATGTTAAATGTAAGCATCGTCCTTCAAGGACTTGAACATTATGTCTTTTTACCTTCCCCCTTCTAAACATAGAAAAATTCCTAAGCAAGGAAGAAATGCTAATGAATTTTCTCTGCTAAACAATACAAATTTTGTATTTCTGAGAACAGTTATGGACCAGGACCCAGAATCCCAAATAACCTTACTTCAAGTCAAATTCTTGAAGAGAAATTTGCCCTCTAATTTGCTAAGATCTTCTATCTTTACTTTGATTTTAATTATAAAACTTTATTATGTCTTAAAACAACATAAACATATCTTTAACTTTTTTCTATGCAAAGATTTTTACATGTCTTCAATAAAATGGTTCAACTATCTCAACAAATTTTATCACTTTGTTAGTTTTCTAAAGATGACAAAACTGTTAAATTTTTTATCTGAATACTCTTTTATCATACAAGCATTTTTTAACCATTATTTTGTAATATGACTGGTTTGTATTTAGAGTATGGTATGAATTATTTTATCCATACACATTTTTATCACTGGTGATGTGTATTATTCTTATTGCAAAGTTTTCAGTTCACTATATACCTAAGACCACTTAAAAGTTTCACAAGTCTAATTTATAGAACAGTCAGCTCCATTGTCTTTTCTTGGAACACCTGAAATTCTTTCTTGCGAATATGCTATGCACATCAATAAGTAAACTTGACAGCATACATAATTTAAAAGAAGCTACATCTATAAATGATTTATTTCATTATACTACAGTCTTTGAAGAGTACCTTAAATGAAGAATCATAAGAGTTTGAATGAAAGATTAGTGTTTGAACCTTGAAACATTTGTGACCTTAACCCCCAAATAGCTAAGGACTGTGTTTTTAAGGAAAATAACATGTTTGTTAATAAGAGTCGAGAGTGTAAAACTCTTATGCCTAAAATAAGGAATAAAAAGCAGCAAAAAAAGGTATGTGTCTCTTAAGTCTTTCAAAAAATAGAAAAGATAAATAATGATAAACTGTGACTCTATCACATTAGTTCCACATACCATAATATTTTCCTCCCACAAAGATCCTGCTAATAGTTTCTTTCACCGTCTTAGGGCCTAGCACAGAACTTCCCTCTATACCAAAATTGTCTACTCCATGGATGACCAAAAGCAATTCCTATCCCTAGTCTCCTTGTCACCCAGCTTTTGAATTAGCAGCACTTAGAGGGAAGATTGAAAAGAAAGGATCCTCTAAGGAGAAAAGACTTTCACATACATACATTCTCTTCTTCCAGTGCTCTTGACCACTAATAATAGACACTTATCCAATACCACTGTGGATTGGGCTCTTCAGGCATTCTCGAGTTATGAACACCTACTCTGCATAGCAACCTCATGACATAGTTATTATTCCTGATTTTAAACTGAGGGAACTGAAGTAAACATAGTCTAAGTACTTTCCCAAGAATAAACTTTACTATTTACTTGGAGTTAACCATGTCTCAGCCCTCTAACTTTACTCCTCTTTTTATTTCCCTACTTTGTTTTCCTAATTTCTTCCTCCTTCTTTCCTCATCTTTTAATTAGCCTTGACAGTAAAACCAGATTTTTTAGTCTTTATGGGGACAAGGAGTCAAGGGTAGCAAATATGAGACACTGGATGTATCCCGGGTACACTATTTAGTGATAGCTCTAGGCATTTTGAGAAAAACAACAAAGATGAGCAGGAGGCAAGGAAGCCACATGGCCTCAAATGATCAGTCCCTGAACTTAAGAGTTAATGACAGTACCTCAAATTTTAGAAAATTAGGTCAGCCCTGAGGACCTCATGTTTTGCTTAATTATTTAGGAAAGAAGAAAACAGAATTTTTAAAGCCTATTTAGCAACACAACTGGCACTTCTGTACATGAAGAGAAACAATGAGGAAAAAAAAGTGAATATTCCTGTTATGCTTTTAATCTTTCCAGATGTGAATGGTTTTCCAGTCAGTATGGAGTAGTGGTTAGAAGTACAGCCTTTGCAACCATTCTGCCTGGGATTCAGTCCTTCCAGCATGTTCCAACCCAGTCACCTTATGCAAGTAAATTAAACTTTTGGGGCTCCCTGATTTAAAGAAAGAGAAGGTTAATAGTGCCCCTACATCACAGGGTTGTGACGAGAATGAGATTAATGATAATTAGTAAATTTATAAAAGCTTATACAAGGTACTATTATCATATTATACAATAATATATATGTTCAAAATATGAATTCCTAGCTACAATCTGGCACTGTTATATCAGATTCTTCTAATTTGTCCAAAGTTTTTATTTTTGTATACATTGAGTTTCTATATATTATTCTATTGTTCTAATGAATCATTATTTACCTTCATACCTTAATTTTTATCAAAGACCTAATTATCTCATTTATCTACCAAAGGAAACTTAATTCTAGTTTTCTTAGTGTGCTAAAGCACATAATAATTATAATAATCATAAATAAGGTATTTAGGTGATATCAAAACTCAATTGCTGCGATCATTCATAATGACAGGACTCAACACTTATACACTAAAGTACCTCAGTTATAAATAAAGAACAAAGGCTTAGTTCCAGAGAAAGAAATCAGTGAAGTGGGAGATTTGTTCTTGCCAGTATTACTATCATTGTTTCTATTATAATTATTTTAGTTTTGCTTTGGTTTGATGTCTGCCAGGAACCAAGCAGTGGATGTGTGGCTCTATTTCAGCACCGGGACACTTGAACAGCACCATTGTGAGTCTTCTAACCACTCTGTGGCTCCTAGTTAAATTTATGCTTACCCTCTGGCACTTTTCACAGAGGTCCTTTCAGTCAAAACCAAAAAAATTATAGAAAAACAGAAAGCAAGGTCATAAGAACATGTCCTAAATCAATGTATAATAGTCTCAGTCATACTTTTTCCTGGAATGGAAAGTAAATTACATACTGAAAACATGAAATGCAGTATTCAGGAACTGAAGATAGATATGTAAATAAATTTCTTCATCTTTAAATACAATTATAATCCAAGAAACACTGAGCATGAGAAAACCCTAACATTGTATAGCTATCCATTTTTAATGCATTTGAGTCAGATAATTAGATTAAAATATTTTTGATAGATTACCTAGTTGGAATCCTGAAGTCTACATTGTTTCCCAATTTGTAAGCCACCTGTAATGTAGTTGATCCCACTACTCTTTGGATAGCTCTTCTAGATGCTGCTTTATCTACCTGGAACTGAGAGATCAGATCAAACCCTATAGAATGGGAATACAAAATGAAAAGTCTAAAATGAGATTGGTTTTATTTCTTTCCACAACTTTCTCAAATAAAAGAATATACTAGGTTTATAGAAAGCATGCATTTTCAATACAGTACATTGCTACTCACCTGGTAAGTCATCTTGGCCAATCCTGATCTTTGGGCAGAGTTCATCACCACCATTAGAACTGGAATTGACAGGGTATCCTGCAAAAGAGATAGCATGTCATTCTACTTCATTCACTCTAAAGATTTTAGGATGTACCAATAATAATGACTATTTAAAATTTAACATTATACCAACTTGCTTAGAGGTAGCATGTTTTGCTTTAATTCCATGCTTCTATGATTATAATCCATCCACCTGCAATCCTGGAAGGGATGGATGCAAGGTACAAAGTTGTTTTAATAATCTGTGCTGGGAAAATGTTCCTTTTGGAGAGGTTAGGCATTTGTTCCTTTTGAACCAAAGTTGAATGATGTCCTGAATGGCACAGGGTCAGAAGTCTGTTTGGAAAATTTTCTGGTGGTTTGGGCTAGAAAATACTCCTTAAACACCACAAATTTTGGGATTCCAATGAGATTTAGAGCCAGCCTTGGTCCAGTTCAGTGGGGCTTCTGGAGAGTGGAGTTTTTAGGAATCTTTGTCAGATATACGGGTCTGAGAAGTCTTGAGATTCACTAATCATAAATAAAATGTAGAGGATGCATTTGATTTCATAAATTCATTCTAAGAGATCAAATAAAGGTCCAAACTAGATTACTGCTAGCATCTTAGAACTGGGAAGAGTAAAGAGAAGAAGAAAATAATCATGAGAAGGATTAACCCTCTATTTGATAAGAAATCATAGAATGGAATTGTGTTCTCCTTATACAAGTGGAAGGTCATAGGGAGGGAGAATTTTTTCACCACCACAAAAGGCTTCCTGTAACTATCCAACCGCAGCGCCTTGCTAATATTCATCTGACAACAGAGACTCTCTAGACTTCACAAAAAGTATTATTAAGTTACAAAACATGGGCCAGGCACCATGGCTCATGCCTGAAATCCCAGCACTTTGGGAAACTGAGGCAGGTGGATCACCCGAGGTCAGGTGTTTGAGACTAGCCTGACCAACATGGTGAAACCCCGTCTCTACTAAAAATACAAAAAAATTAGCCAGGCGTGGTGGCACATGCCTGTAGCTCCAGCTACTCAGGAGGCTGAGGAGAGAGAATCACTTGAACCTAGGAGGTGGAGGTTTCAGTGAGCCAAGATGGCATCACTGCAGTCCAGCCTGGATGACAGAGTGAGACTCCATCTCAAAAGCCAAACAAAACACATGGGCCTATCCATCACGGTACATCAAACATGCTCTTTATACTCCCCTGACCCCAAATTGTTGAGGTCCATCCATCCATCCATCCATCCATCCATCTATTCATTCATTCATCCATGTATTCACCAAACATTTACCAATCACCATCTGTACTAGGCACTGCACTAAGCACTGCAGCAAACAGATTGGCCTTCCTGCCAACTGTGGTTACTGGTGGGACTTAATTTCCATACCCAGCATTGACCATGGAAAGCCAGCCACTGGCATATCCCCATGCCCCAAAGCAGGATTGAAGAGGGAAGGTGTGAAGGACCATGGATGCCTCACTCAGTCTTCAGTCAGCCACGGCCCTGCCTGATCATTTCTGGGAATAAGTGATCTTTCAAAGTCTATAAACTATGGCCCTTACTGGGGCGACGCTTGACAGCTGCAGATGCCCAGGGTTCCAGGAAACTGCACACAAAGAAGAAAACTGGAAATTTCCTGAAGAAGAGAGAAGAAAAGTGACTCAAACCAGAGTCCCTGCAGATGGGAACTACGTTCATGTTTTCAAACCTGGTAAACCTAATTAATGTAAGGTGATCAATTCTCAGTATAGTTTATTTTTTTCATTTTACTTTGAAATCTTACTGGCAGATGTAAGGAATTCATATATTTCCAGCCCCCACATTCCTGTTGTTTTATTGATCTCATTTTCTCGGTAACAGGTAGTTACCTGTATCAGTATTTCCTTGTCTCTAGTTTCTTTCGTCTTTGATTTCCTGCCTCTCTTTTTTCCATGGCAATCACTTTCTTTCCCTCCCTCTGTCTCTTTTTTTGCATCTCTCTCCTGTTTCTCACGCTTGCTCTCTCTTGTCTTACTCTCTCATCGCTGTCTCTCTCTGTCTCTCACCTTTCGGCTCACCTACTCTCATCCTACCACTGCTGCAAAAATATGCACCGTTGGTTCTGAGGACCCCCAGCCCAGTCTCCCTACCACTTTTCCCAGAGTTATTGCCTTACCAGCAGGTCTTCATTTTCCCAGTTGATTTCCTTGGTTGCCAACAGTCCTTATGGAGAAGAGGTTGGAAGGGAGTCACTGCTCCCTCACGACCCCTTCAGGGTTACCCTAGGACTATGAGTCTGGTCACAGCCTTGGTCCCTCCTGCCCTGGTGAGGGCTAAAAGCAAAGGGAGAGAACCAGAGGCATCTCGTGACACTTTAAACTGAAGCAGAAGAAAGGGGTGGGGAGAAGCAGCGCTGTAAGCCCAGGCCTAGGGGTGTGTCCTCAAAGCTAACAAAGTTACACTGAAGGAGGGATTAACAGGGGAAAGTTTACAGAAAAGAAAAAAATAAAATCAGGATGTAGGAAAATTCACCAGAAAGATCCAGGCAAAGTCCTATAGGAACACAGTAGATGCTTTTAGATCTGCTATAGGAGCACAATGGCAGCTTTCAGAACTGCTATAGGAATACAGTGGAAGCTTTCAGAGGACTGAGTTTCCAGTAAAAATGTGCCCACTGGGAGGCGGAGGTGTGGAAACTCGTGGGAGCCTTGGTGCCCAATCAACCCAAGTTTCAATCCCTGTTTATTCTGAAGCTTACTAGTTGAGAGAGTTACTTCATCTTTCTGTAACTAGATGCCTTAACTGTGAAACAGATTGAAAATACTTACATAAAACAATTGTTTTGAGAATTAAATGAGTTGCAGAGACAGAGAGTCTAACAGACAGCAGTCATTATTTGTCATTGTCCTCATAGCTAACACTTCATGATTGCCTCCCTCTATTGAAAATGCTCAAGGGCTAATGCCATGTAATTCTCACAACATTGTAAGGTAAGACTGAAGTTACCCTTATTCCCCAGATAAGAAAGTTGAGGAACCAGACAATCAAGTAACTTTTTCAAAGTGCCATGCCTATTACTAAATACACATTCCCTCTCTCTACCTCATGGTTGGAAATCCTGATAAAATGTAATATCAAGCCCCCTAGTTGTTGTTTCTTAAACTCTTGAGATTACCAGAGTTGAGCGAAAGACGCTGGACCTGGAAAGAAGCATCCTCTGTTAATGAGGTGAGAACATGTTACAAGGAGCACAAACCTGGGGAGATACATGTTATCAGCATCACTACATCCTCTCTCCAGAACCTCTCCAGAAAATTCCCAAGAGGCCCCACATCACCCCCCTTCCCACCCACTCAGCACGGCCTATCTCTGGCCTTGTCTTGACAGACATGGGTGGTTAGTCCAAAAACAGGGACTCTTGAGGTCAGAAGATCCAATTATCTAAAAAATCACAGTAACTTTGAAGTGTTTTTGATTCCTTGAACTTTTTTTTTTAAGAGACAGGGTCTCAGGTCTCACTCTGTCGGCCAGTCTGGAGTGCAGTGGCATAATCATAGCTCACTACAGCCTTGAACTTCTGGCCTCAGGGTGTTCCGAGTAACTGGGATGATAGTTGTGCACCACTGCAGGGCTTCTTGAAATTTTTTAATTTAACTTTCTAATTGATTTCATTTTTATTTAATTAAAAACAATAGCATTGCTTCTTATTTTCATTTGTTTATTTTTTTTCCAAAAAAGTCCTTTCATCTTCTGCCTCTCCCAGCTCACTGATGAACTGTGAATCAGGTAAACTTAATATCCATGCTCTTGCCCTTTTCTTTTCTACTCACGACCCACCTGTTGGAGTCCTGTCTCTTCTTCCCAGAGGGACATCCATTTCCTCATGCTGTTTGGGGCTTTCCACAAGTCCTGTCATTTGCCTTCTGTCTATCAAAATTCCCATTCCCTAGAGCAGCCATCCTGGCTCTGTGACCGAACTGCAGATGACCAGAGCCTAGGTTATTTATTTAAGTCAGTCAGGGCTCATGTGAAAGAAACGGTCTATTAACCTCAGAGGAGAAACTGTGCGGCTGACATCCAGAAGTCAAAGGAGGTGAGCCAGCCCGAGATTCACAGGGGAAAAGGCGTTTTCCAAAGGGACTGTCCATTAAAGCTGGTTATTTGCATGATTGATACTCTCATATTACTTACTCTGGTAAGAAAGGAGAGAGGGCTTTTTCTGTATAATGAAGTGTTTGGGAAATCCTTTCATTGCTTTAGAGATCTCAATCCTACATTTGCCCCTCTCCCTCCCACTATAAAGAATCCTCTTCAAGTAAAATCTGAAATCAAGTGAAGTTTCCTTTTAATTAAAAATAAAGGGATAGAGAGAAAAATAAGTTTGTTTATAAGTGGTTTGGCTTTGTCCTAGCTTGGCAGTTTTATTTAAGATGGTGAGGAGCAAGCAAGAGCTATTTTTAGAGAGAAATTAGGCTGGGTGCGATGGCTCATGCCTGTAATCCCAGCACTTTGGGAGGCCGAGGTGGGTGCCTCACCTGAGGTCAGGGGTTCAAGACCAACCTGGCTAACATGGCAAAACCCCGTCTCTACTAAAAATACAAAAATTAGCCAGGCATGGTGGCACATGCCTGTAGTCCCAGCTACTTGGGAGACTAAGGCAGGAAAATCATTTGAACCCAGGAGGCGGAGGTTGTGGTGAGCCAAGACCAAGCCACTGCACTCCAGCATGGTTGACAGAACTTGAGTCCATCTCAAAAATAATAATAATAATAATAAAACAAAGAAAGTCAGTCCTGACCAGGCAGGATGGTTCATGCCTGTAGTCCCAGTACTTTGGGAGGACAAGGCAGGCAGATGGCTTGAGCTCAGGCTTGCCCAGCCTGGGCATTATGGCAAAACCCCATCTCTACAAAAAATAAGAAAATTAGCCAGGCATGGTGGTACATGCCTGCAGACCCAGCTACTCAGGAGACTGAGGCAGGAGGATCACTTGGGCCTAAGGAGTTTCAGGTTGTAGTGAGCGACAATCACACTACTGCACTCCAGCCTAGGCAACAAAGTGAGGCCCTATGTCAAAAAAAAGAAAAAAGAACAAAAAAGAAAGTCTATCCAGAGAAAACAAAGATATGTACAATCTTTAAGGAAATTTTTTCTCCTCCCTCCTCTCCCATTTGCTGTTAATCATGTTTCCTAACATGACATTAGAATCTCACAGACAGCAGTCCAATGCCACACTATTCTGCTCTGGGTCAGTTGCACCCTAAGGTCACAGACACATAAGCTTTCTCACCCTTTGCGCTGTTCCCTCACCTTACCTAGCAGTTCTGTTCTGAAAAACAATGTAGAAATGAAATCGGGTCAATCATATCAGATTGTAAATGCACTAAGACAGCTTGGTATTTAAAATGATCAATTTTATAAATAGATGTGTTTTGTACAGAACAATTATACTTTCCTTGTACTCCCTCTCATCCTGCCCCAAATACTTTTCTACAGAATACACACACAATAATCTCCTTCTTCCTATAAATCAAGAATATTATTTACTTAAAGCTTAAATCAGAGAACATCACCACAAACAATCATCTTTCTTGATCATCTACTTTCTTTTTATGTGTTTATTCAATCATGTATTGAATAACTATATACAGTAGTATATGTATCAAATATGTGCTAGGAGTTGAGGAGGCAAAAAGTTTGAATAAACACTGCCTTGCCTGAGGAAGCTGACAGTCTAGTATGGAGGATTAATATGAAAATGACCACAATTCAGAGAGTAACAAGGCTGTAGTGTCACTGAGAACAAGTATTAGCAAAGTCCAAGGGCTTCAGGAAATTTTTTAAAAAAGAGATGAAATCTTAGACGATGAATAGAAGGCCACTAAGAGAATAAGTGAGTGCAGTACATTTTAGACGGAGAAAACAGAAGATACTATAACAAAAAGGCAAAAGAGGACATTTGAGAAGCCAGATGTTTAGTGCAAGAATCCTTTCATTTGGCAAATATCTACTGGTGCCCCTTGTACCATGCTCCCTGACTGACCTCAACACTAGAGAGACAACCAGAGAAAGAGCAGGTTCCTGCCCCTCTGCAGCTGACACACTCTTGGGAACACAGATGCTAAACACGTTTTCAAGAATAAACAAAATAATTTCAGGTGAGAGCGTTATGGAAAATATGAAAGAAGACAATGTGTTCTAGAGACTGCAGAAGAATTAGAGGCTGATCTAGGTTGAAGAGCTAGGGAAGGCTGCTTTGAAATTGCGAATTTTGACTCAGATCAGATGAGAACAAAGAGATAAGATTAGTGGGCAGATTGGAAAAGGGATGGGAGACAGGAAAACTCCCTGGCTTTGAGCTTGAGCAACTGAGTAGATGATGGTGTCCGTTTCTGAAATTACAAGTAGGAGGACCACGGGGAAGGAGTTTGGTAAAGGATCTTGAATGACGTCAAAAGAAAGTGTAGACATTATTCTGGCTGTTACAGGAACTGAGAAAAGACTTTTTTGAATGTATCTTTAGAAAGACAGTTCTGGTGTTGCTTGGCGGATGGATTGAATGGATTTCATTAGTATATACACATATACACAACTGGGACAAGTTTCAGAAAACAATACTTATGTAAATGTGATATATTCTATTTTCTGTTTCATTATATTTTATTTTTGAATGATGATAACCAAATCAGTGAGTAGATATCAGGACCAACTAATGGGTTGCAACTCATGGCTTAAAAAACATTAGATTAGAAAACCATTAGAATAGACACTAAAAATACCAAAAGATCTCTTTCCTCTCTTTTCCTGGTATGGGCATGATAGTTGGGATGCCCCATAAGACTCAGAATGGTAGGACAACTTCCTTAGTTTTAACATGACTATATATTTTTTAAAACATTCTTTTGAAGTAAAATAGCTGTAAACTGAGTTTTAAATGAACATACCACAACCCCCATATTTTATTAGTTTATAGGTTAAATTAAGGAAGAATATTCTAAAAACTAGCTTCCTAATGGTATTTAGTTTTCGGCTTTATTCCATCTATCTTTACTTTAAAATAAAAGACCCAAGATGCCTAATGGCACCTACCAGTTGTGTGAGAATGCTGCGAATTAGTCACAGCTAGAGCCTGAAATGTATCACAGAAATCTCTGGCTGAGAGGCTGATTAACAATCAGAGCTGCTAAACTAGGACTCCCACAGTTTTACATTGGGTTCAGTTTTGCTGTAAAGAAATTTCACCATAATCAAAGCTCTATTTTTAATCTTCTTATTTTGGCCCTATACTTGTAATTGTAGCCTAATCATCTATAGCAAGCAAATACAGCCCCATGGTGATGGCCATTTTTCTCT